GTTCTACTTGGAGCTTTTGCGGGCATTATATTGCATGGATGTTGGAGTATTTTGTGCAAAAATGATGATAAATGCAGCCTTAGTCAATCAACTTCTAATTGTATTAAACTTTGTGATATTTCAAAATGTATGACGATTTGTAGTGAATTCTGAATTTACCAAGTCATTTGGGAGCATATGTATGTGCATGTCTCATAGTGGTACTCCAATATGTACAAAAATAAGGTTTAAAAAACCAATAATTTACCATGTCGATTTAATTTTTAAAAGCCTTTGACTATGTAACTGTCCCGGTCCCACTGTGGACGCCAAACTGTTTATTGAGAAAATAGTACAATCAAATTTGTATGAGGTAAAAATATGCATCTTGATTTAACTCGTTTAGTTCATGAGTTATTAGAAGTTAAATATATTTGAAAAAGTAAGTAAACATGAGATAAAGATAAAGTCATGTGAAGCGTTAGAGATCTGATGAAGAGTGTTTCCATTAGATTCGGTGTTGTTTTATTGTTTTTTGCTTCGGATCCAAAGAATGAAATAGTAAGTAAATGTTATAAAGTAAATAGTAAAATATGAAAAGCTTCGAGCACTAGATTATAAGTGTCTTGCTATGGCCCAAAATTAGAAGGGAGGTGAGCGACATAGTATATATATTTCAGATACATGCAAATCACATTAGATAAAGGTATTCGGGATACCATATATAGGGAGAGTGGCGAGTAAGAGAGTCATATACATGCAAATTCACTTAGATACGATGTATCTATATTCTACAATGAATTATACCTAATATTGACCTCATGTATCCGAGATACATGTTTCTAGACGTGCTAGATACATGTATCTAAGTCTAGATTATGTAAGTTTCGTAATTATGAAAAGTAAAGGGGAGGGAGATAATTAGGTGGTACTAGACTAGAGGAATTTTTGTAAGTTATTGTTTATTATATTAAATAATCATAAAAAAATGCATCTACGGGCCTGGACCAGGCTTAATACCTGTGAAATCCAACAAGGATAAACTATTTTATTAGACATACATCACTACCATATATATTAATTTTACCTCTACTTTCAAACGATTACATATATTATCAATTTTAATATTTTGTACCATATATTATTGAAGATACAATCAATACTCATACCCCTTAAAATTAGGATTGATTAATTATCCTTACATTCAAACTTCAAAATTAGTGTTTTGATTCAAAAAAAAAAAATATCTCATAGAGTATTGGTATAAAACTCAAACCGTAAGTCTTCCTCTTCCCTTGATCAATCGAAATTTACTGAGAAGAAACACTTCATTAAAATGGATGTTTTTACAGCTTGTCAACACACACATTAAATACTTAGCCTTTGATTTTCTCACTCTCAAACTAATTCCCCATGAATCCATCATTTTTTCTCGCAAGGGGAGATACCTCTCGCGCGCAGATACAATGGGTATCTATATAAGCAGAGATTTCAAGCCCAATAGATTTATCAAATTCAGCATTGACGATGGTACCGATTGCATACCTTGTATACTATGGATCAACCAAGAAATTTCGTGTTACTTCTTCCGTTAGATCTAGGCGCAGTGAGCAACACCGATGAATCAAAAGGTGAAGCAAAAATCGCCGATGTGAAATGCCCTGACCAGCGACGAACACAATAGGAAAGTTCCAATAAGCAGAGATTTACACATGTATTTGACACATTATTGGTGTATCTAATGCATTATTAAGATACGATTATATGTATCTAATTTTTTATCAGTGTATCTTATTAAGTTTATTAAGTGTGTATGTATCTAATGAATAAATTGGAGATTTGCGTATTATTGGAAATTTACGCATGTATTTGACACAATTTGTTATGTCATGTATCTGAGTCTCGTCATATGTATCTTAATATTATCATATATATATTTGTTATGTTAGAATGTATCTAATTATTTTTGTATTGATTTGAGATACATGTTTTTGGATATAACATATGAAATTGATACTTGATACATCAAATTATACATATAAAAGATAGATGAAATAATATTATATCAAAAAATAATAAAATGAAAGTAATTAAACATAGATTCACTTCTTGATTTATGTCTTATATTAAGAGATTTAATTAATTGTCCATTTATTGTGATAATCATCAATTACTTCTCTAATTAAGGAAATATGTTACAACTAATTAATTTAAATAAATAAAATATGTATCTCGATTTTAAAATTCGACAGAGGAAGTAATATTTGAAACTATCGAGAATCTTACTAATTAGGACCTAAACTAGTGGGAGTTATGGAGTTTGCCCAAATAATAAAACAAAATTTAAAAGGAAAGCAGAAAACATCAGGGGCTTTTTTAGCCCAATACACATTTGGATTGGAATCATTTTAGGAAAAATTACCTAAATGCACAACTTATTTCATCATATTCTTTCTCTAAAATTCTCTATCATTTGAAAAAATTACAAAAATTCTTACTCTCTCCAATTCTCGGATACATCATTCTTACGCGATACATCAAAACGCAATATATCGAAATGCAATGTATTAGGACATTGAGCGATGTATCGGGATGCAATGTATTGAGACTTTGAGCGATGATGTATCGGGACAGGTGTGTCTTATATCAACAAAGTTAATGTTGGATGCGATGTATCGAACATTGGGTGATGTATTCGAAACTGGGACAAGATGTACCGGGACGTTGACTGATGTATTTGAAATCAAGTGCGATGTATTGAAACATTGAATGATGTATCCAAAAAAATTAAATCTTAAGAGATTTTTGTAATTTGAAAAAGATTAGGAATAAAATGTAATTAACTCTTAACATAGGGGTAAAATATCCATTCTTTTATATGTGAGTTGAAATTTTCTTTACAAAAATTGTCTCTGTTGCCTTCATAAATATATATTTTTTCAAAAAAAAACCCGGGTATGGCCATGTGGAATGCTGGGGCTGGATGAAAAAACAATTAAATTTGCCGCCTTAAGATTCTTTTTATGTCCTCGAACTGATTTATAGTTTAATCTCTATAGTCATGAATAGTGCCTAGGAGTGTACAAAACTGAACCGAAAATCAAACTAAATCGCAAATTGAGTCAAATTGAAAAATAAAATCTGACTAGTGATTGGTTTGACTTGGTTTGGTATTAGGAAAAAAAACCGACTATATTTGGGTTGGGTTGGTTTTAACTAAAAAGAACCAACCTAAGGCCAAACCAACCTGACATTATATATATAATTTTAAAATTTTATTTTATACATAAAAATATTTACTTTGATATAATTTTAAAATATTTCTTATACTTTTTCATAGTTTTTATCTTTTAATATATTATTTCAAGTTTGAAGCTTAGAATTCTGAATGGTTCAATAAAGATTATAGTCCACAGATGTTGATAATTATAATAAAGCTTAAATCAAATCAAATTAATACTAATGCAATAAGAAAATCAATTCAACACTAAGAATGACAATAATATTGAATATTTGTTCTTTGGTTTTACATTGATTTAGACAATTCAAATACATAATATAATTTTAATTTCCTTTAATATTTAGTCATGTAACTAATGATTTAGTACTTTTAAATTATGATCATTTTCATTATGACTTGTTAATTTGCTATATTTGTTTTACGCGATTTCATTATTGTTATTATTATTTTTGTTGGATATTTTTAGTGTCATTACTCATATCATATTTTGTGTTATTTTCTTAAGAAACACCTTAGATAGTTGTATTTTGGTAGGATTAAGGAAATATTTGAAGTACAAGTAAATTATATGTTTGTATGAATACTTTACTGGAAAAACCTGAAAAAATGAAAAATCCGAAAAAACCCAAGGTTGAAAAACCCGAGTTTTATTGGTTTGATTTAGTTTATAAATTTAAAAATCCGACACAAATGGTTTGATTTGATAATTGAGAAACCCGAACCAACCCGGTCATGTACACCCCTAATAGTGCCTAATGTTGGAACAATTAAATTGCGTCTTGTAGCAAGAAACGGAGGATAACGTAATTAAATTCCTTTTTTTTTTAAATGCGTGACGAAATTCCCCATATATCATTAGTAAACGCAGCGTTGTATAATGAAAGTAATCTAGATATTGATTACTCTAGATTGATTGTTGATTTTATGATTAAATAAGCAGCAATTCTAAAGTTGACTTAGGAAAAGGGTTGATTATTATTAACGGTCCAATTTTTACAAGAGGCACATAAAAATAAATAACAGAAGAGGCATATAAAATAACTCCAAAGTAACAAACATATACAGATTAGGCTATTAGAATCCCTTTAACCAACTTGAGTTATTTGCTATTTCCCTTGCTACTAATCTGTGTAATATGTGATGTTAACACCCAAACAAAGCCTTCTAAGTTAAATTTACGAATGTAGTATAACATAAATTGCTTCCAGGATGTGAAGCATCACACGTAGATAGGTTAGTACAACCTCTATCCATCTTTACTTATCCAATATATTAAAAATATCTATCCAACATTACATTTCTAATATGTAAAACCAAAGAGATAAAATATCGCTTTGTGTCTAATTTTTACCTCCTTTTTTACTAAATACTATTCATTCCACAACATTTAAATGACTTGAGTAATTAATATGAGTGATATCGTAAAATTACTCTTATATTCATTGTCTCTTAAAGGGATGTGTCAAATCAAGTAAAGACAAACAAAGGGAGTACAAGGCTAATTGTCCCATTCAAGGTCTGCTAATGCTTTGAACCAAAATAGTCAGATCTCATCTCTTTTTCTACTATAATAAATCTAATGGCACAAAGTCATTTTCCGTTTACAAGTATATCTCAACTCTTTCTCCTATCTCTTGCTTCCAGTTCCAGGTAATAATTTACTCGCGCCCCTTATCTACAACAAACCAAGATATATCTAAAGTATTGAGTAAATCAACAACACATGTAGAAAAAGATGCACGATGTTCAGTTTCCCCAACTGCTACAATATACTCAAAACTAAAACCAAATGCTAATCACAGAACTTTGCTCAGATACTGAAAGTTTACCAATGTACAGTAGTTACACTTCTTAAGCTGAAAGGTATCATAGTCAAATATTAATTCTCCAGGTAGCGTCCGGTTTGCTGCTTGCTGTTCTCAGCCAGAATATAAGATTAAAAAAACACAGAACACGCACAAGATGTTACATCAGCAAATTTTTTTATATATAAATCCATTCTTCTCTTTCCAATCGGAGACTCCACCTTAGAAGCAACTCTAAGGACCGCGGCTTATTTAATCTGTCTGGAAGTAGCTTGCAAAGAAGTTGGTAGTAACAGAGATATTCACCTGAGCACGGTAAATTAACTTTCTACATAAACCATACCTACTCGAATTTCCTCAAAAAGAAGAAAATAATTCTTGTGTGTGTTTTCAACTATGTCCAAAAGTATTCAGATTAATGGCATGTGGAGTAAACTCTCCCACACCCTAGAAAACCACAAAAACACCTGCAAAGAATTGGCCATCATTAATCATAGGCTAGTGAAGCAAATCCAGTAACTATGAGACAAAAGCAACTCACTTAGCCATGTTTTATGTCATTTTCCTGCTCATTATTTTCCTGTCAAATTCAAAACCCTCACCCATCCAATGTAAAAACTGGTGGAAGCCTTTCTCCCTTTCCATTTTTGATTGCACTTACATTTGGTGCCAACTTCATATCAACCGTACTTAAAAGCATCCACATAAAGAATGCTCTAGATATGAACTGGATCGACCAAGGGCTGAGCATTCAAAAGATGGCTAACCTAGAGCGAGCAGCAAAAATCGAAGCAGAATTCATGGACCATCAAAGGAGCTGCAACCCCGTTGTCAAAGTTGAACCACACTCCGCGAGTTCAGATGCAGACACTTCAGACCAGAAAGAGAACTATGTTCAATTGCACCATGTTAAAAGTCATGTTGCTTACTCATATACTGATACAGATGCGGAAAGTTCAGTCAGTACGATTGAGGATTTGCCTAGACACACTCATCCCTGCAGCAACAAAACGTGGATAGCATTACTGTCTTTCAACAGTATGCAAAAGCTGGAACAACTGTTTCCTTCTTGCTAGCCTACACAGTTCTGGTATTGTATGGATGCCGCTCTTCTGTTTGTGATGGTAACGCATAGTAGTTGGACACACAAGTGAACTGGTAAAGCTCCCGTTAATTCCTGAATTATTAACAAATACTCGAAATAATTAGAGCCACAAGGATTATCCTAACCACCATACATCTAGAGCTTCTTGATATGTGTTTGTGTGTGGTTTTTTTTTTCCAATGCTAAAAGATAAGAAAATCACGCAATTAATGGAACCTCTGTATATATGCTAACAAATATAAAGAGTCTAGTAATTAGGTTAACAAAAATGGACTTTCTCTGTTCCACAGTTGATACTTACTATTTAGAATCAAAAATTGAATGGTTGAATGGAAAAGTGCTACTGGGGGTTTTATATGAAATGGAGAAGTTGCTACCGGGGTGTTATGTGAAATGGAGAAGTTGCTACTGGGGTGTTATTTGAAACGGAAAAGTGCTACCTCTTAAATCTTATCTAACCAAGTAGCCGCTTCATATTAAGCCATAAGTGCTTGGTCATCTTAACGACACCAAATGTTTAAGTTGGTGATTATGATTCAGCTACTTAAAATCTCCATGCTCTCAGCACAAGTCAAGAACTTTCATTCTCATAAACTGGGTTAAAAAGAACAAAATAATATCAATATCAATATTATAGTGAGGAAAGCTTATATTATGTATGAAATGCAGATTTACAGAAAGGGATGATTGCCAGATCAAAGGTTTTTACCTTGCCTATCATCTGAAGAGTTGTCAGTGGGTGCACTGTTCTCAACATGAACAAATGTTTGAATAGTAGTTTTAGATTCCTTAAGTTTTGATATTTTATGTACATAGATCTATTAGATTGTACAATCACTTGAAAGTTTGGGATGCATTTCAGAACACAGACATGAATGTAAATTATTGTTGGCTATCGCGCAGCAAGATTGTCAGTATTTTGATGATTTCGGGAATTTTGCGGATATGTAACATGAGATAAAATATGCTTCAACAAGCAGTCAAATTTGATCAACAGATGGAGATTAAACATGCTCCAACACAGAGTCAGAATAGATAGAAATGAGAGATAAATTATACAAAGCTATACACTTTCTTAATCAAAAAAAGAAAATTTAAGTACAGCAAAACTGAAGGACATTATTCAACTTTCTCATTTCCCCTTTTTTTTTTTCTCTTGCGTCTTGAGGAGGAGGAAAGAAATGATAGTAATTTTAGCACATAAGAGTCTAACAGTGGCTGCTAGGGAGTGATAATCACTACTGCATTTCAGCAACAACCATTTAACGTTCCTATTAAGTGCTCACACTTCCAACATATAGCTAAAATTTCTCTGACACTTCTCAACAACATCCATTTATGTCTAAATATTCTTGTTTTCAAGTCAGACACACATTAAATTAAGTGGAAGAGAATATTTGGAAAATAATGCCAAAGAATTTGCGACCAATTAACAGATGCAGACAAAATATTACCTCCATTAGGCATGGATTCCCCCAGTCAGGAGATAAAAAGAATAATTGTAGCTGAAAATGGAAGGATCCAATAGTCTCATAGACCACCAATTAGTGTATCAGTAGGAGAACAACACACGTCAAAAGAAGAAAAGTGTGTGCACCGCTTCCTGCAAAATGAACATGAGACCGTGTGAAATTCAGCTAGTGTACCATTAGAAGATATTTGCAGAAATGAGTGAGTCCTATTGAGGAAAATGCAGCATCAGGTACAGTACAGTGAAAAGAGACGTGTGCAAGGATTCTTTTGATGAGCTAGTAGAATATTAATAGCTCATTGTGAATTGAAACCATTATTTAAAAAATAAATGCAAATTTGAATCCATTAGACTTGTAAACAGCTGCAATATTCAATGATTTTTTTTATAACCGTGTTGTCTGGGGCCATCTTGCACGCACCTCAATTCTACAAGGTCCCTACTACCTCCCAAAACTTTGCTCAGTTATTGAAAGTTCACACTTGTACAGTAGTTACACTTCTTAAGCTGAAAGGTATCATAGTCAAATATCAATTCTCCAGGTAGCGTCCGATTGCTGCTAGCTGATTTTCTCAGCAAGAATATAAGAATAAAAAAACATAGCACACGCACAAGATGTTACATCAGCACATTTTTTTATATATAAATCCATTCTTCTCTTTCTAATATATATTATCTCATAATTTGATATACTGAATACGACTAAAAGAATAATATTTGTATGTATTAGTTGTAGTTAAATTAAGTTAAAAAGCACTCAATCTCACCTTTATATAAGAATCTTATATAAAGGTGAGATTGAGTGCTTCAACACTCTTACCCCTCCACATTTCTGAGACAGTTCACAAGAAAAACCAGAGAAATCAGGATTGCTGAATCTTACCTGGATAAGCAAAGAAATCCCTCTGTTAATTTAAGTTAGATGTGCAAATCCTCCAATCGGAGATTCCACCTTAGAAGCAACTCTAAGGACCGCAGCTTAGATAATCTATCTGGAAGTAGCTTGCAAAGAAAGTGGTTGTAACAGAGATATTCACCTGAGCACGGTAAATTAACTTTCTACATAAACCATACCTACTCGAATTTCCTCAAAAAGAAGAAAATATTTCTTGTGTGTATTTTCAACTATGTCCAAAAGTATTCAGATTAATGGCATGTGGAGTAAACTCTCCCACACCCTAGAAAACCACAAAAACACCTGCAAAGAATTGGCCGTCATCAATCATAGGCTAGTGAAGCAAATCCAGTACTATGAGACAAAAGCAACTCACTTAGCCATGTTTTATGTCATTTTCCTGCTCATTATTTTCCTGTCAAATTCAAAACCCTCACCCGTCCAATGTAAAAACTGGTGGAAGCCTTTCTCCCTTTCCATTTTGGTTGCACTTACATTTGGTGCCAACTTCATATCAACCGTACTTAAAAGCATCCACATAAAGAATGCTCTAGATATGAACTGGATCGACCAAGGGCTGAGCATTCAAAAGATGGCTAACCTAGAGCGAGCAGCAAAAATTGAAGCAGAATTCATGGACCATCAAAGGCGCTGCAACCACGTTGTCAAAATTGAACCACACTCCACGGGTTCAGATACAGACACTTCAGACCAGAAAGAGAACTATGTTCAATTGCACCATGTTAAAAGTCATGTTGCTTACTCATATACTGATACAGATGCGGAAAGTTCAGTCAGTACAATTGAGGATTTGCCTAGAACATACTCAACCCTGCAGCAACAAAACGTGGATAGCATTACTGTCTTTCAACAGTATGCAAAAGCTGGAACAACTGTTTCCTTCTTGCTAGCCTACACAGTTCTGGTATTGTATGGATGCCGCTCTTCTGTTTGTGATGGTAACGCATAGTTGGACACACAAGTGAACTGGTAAAGCTCCCGTTAATTCCTGAATTATTAACAAATACTCGAAATAATTAGAGCCACAAGGATTATCCTAACCACCATACACAAGGATTTATAAAAATTGATAAATCGAAAAACCCGAATTATATTATTTTTGTATATCCCTTTTTAGTTATTATCTTTCATTATGATTTAGTTTATCTTTTATGTTTGGACATCTATAATTTGTATACTTTTAAGTATTACGTTGTACGTTTTACTTGTGATTTATATTAGATAGTAAATTTAAGAGATTTTATATATATATATATATAACTTTGATTCAAATTGCAAATATAACTTTGATTATTTTTCTAATTATTGACATAACCGAATAATCGAATCGAAAAGAATCAAACCAAACCAAAATTTATTTTGGTTCGAATTGAATTATACTTTTTCAAAATCAAAATCGAATAGTATAAAACCAAATCGAATGCACACGTGACACGTACCCCATGTTAAAGGGGTATATGTGGTCTAGCTATTTACTTAACGATGAAGGCGTTCTTAATAATTAGTTTAGCTTTGGGTTTGAGAGTGTCAAACCGCCCAGACCCACATGAATGTAAAAAATGAGTATAGAAAAATGAAATGTTTCTATTATTGATGTCATACTCTTTATTAATTAAATTGATTTGGTGGTTGAAGCAATTTTCCCAGTAATATGACACAAGTCATACATATTGTGTATGTTTGGGCGTATGTCCTATTAGTATCACCGTACATACAATTGTATATCGTCTTGTGTGTATGTCAGACGTATTTTAAGTATGTATGTATAAAAACTAGAATATGTATAAATATTATTGAATTGTGTTTCTACATTATACAGAGACCCTATTTATAGACACTACACTATACTCCCTCTGTCCCAATTTATGTGGTCCCAAAAAGAATGACACATTTCTATAATAAGTAACAATTTAACTATAAAATATTTATTTTAACCCTTAATGAAATGATCATTCATTTTGGACCACAAGTTTTAAAAGTCTTCATTTTTTTCTTAAACTCTGTGCCGAATCAAACTACCTCACATAAAATGAAACGGAGGGAGTAATTCTTTACCAAGTAAAATACTATTAACTATTCCTATTTTTATTCCTAATCCTATTCTAAGTAGGATCGTATATACCTATTCTTATTCTAACTAGGATTCTAACACTCCCCCTCGAGCTGGTGCATACAAGTCATATGTACTTAGTTTGTTACAGATGTAATTAATACGAGGTCCGGTGAGGAACTTGGTGAAAATATCTGCAAGGAGTATATTTTTCCTGACAAAGTGATAATCAATCTCAATGTGCTTAGTCCTCTCACGAAATATTGAATTTGATGCGATAAGAAGGCTCTTTTAATTATCACACACAAGTTCTATCTAATAGATTTCTCCAAATTTTAGTTCTCTCAGCAACTGTTTGATCAAAACTAGCTCACAAGTTGCTACAGCCATTGCTCGACATTCTGCTTTTGCACTTGATCGAGCAACCACACTATGTTTTTTTAATTTTCCAGGACACCAAATCAGTGTTCAGGAAAGCGAGCGCTTCATCGCTTAAAGCGATGAAGCTTCGCGATGCAAGCCTTCTACGCTTAACAAACTAGAATGAGTATGTGAGTGCTTCATCGCTTAAAGCGAGCGCTTCATCGCTTAAAGCGTGAAGCGGGGCCTTATCCTTTTTTTCCGCTTCACGCTTCCCTGAACACTGCACCAAATTACCTCCTGCTAAAACACAATATCCAGATGTAGAACGTCTATCAAAGGGTGATATTGCCCAATCAACGTCTGTATATCCAATGATATGCTCATGGCCTCGATCCTCGAAGAGTAGTCCTTTACCTAGAGCTGACTTTATATATCGCAAAATGCGAACAACTGCATCTCAATGACTATCATATGGGGAAGTCATAAACTGACTTGCAGCACTCACAGCAAAAGAGATGTCAGGTCTAGTCACGATGAGATAATTCAACTTTCCAACCAGCAACCCATACCTTCCAGGATCACTAAGTGGCATCGCCTATCCTGGCGAGAGTTTAGCATTCCGATCCATAGAAGTGTCAATGGGACTACAAACCATCATTTTTGTCTCCTAAAGAATGTCTAAGGCATATTTGCGTTGAGAAATAACAATACCTAATTTAGACTTAGAAACTATAATACCTATAAAATACCTTAGTCTGCCAAGGTCTTTCGTCTGAAAATGCTGAAAAGATATTGTTTCAAACTAGTGATACCTTCTTGATCATTGCCGGTGATAACGATATTGTCAACATAGACCACCAAATAAATACACAAAGTTGGTGCAAAATGTCGATAAAACACAGAGTGATCAGCTCCACTACAAGTCATGTCAAACTCCTGAATTATTATGTTGAACTTACCAAACCAAGCTCGAGGAGGCTGTTTCAAACCAGACCCACAATCGACATACAAGGTTACTAGGTTCCCCCTGAGCAACAAAACTAAGTGGTGCTCCATATAGACTTCTTCCTCAAGATCATCATGCAGAAAAGCATTCTTAATGTCTAACTGATGAAGAGGCCAATGACAAACTGAAGCTATAGATAGAATAAGACGGATAGATGCTATTTTAGCCATGGGAGAGAAAATGTCACCATAATCTAGCCCAAATATCCGAGTATACCCTTTGGCAACAAGGTGAGTCTTAAGCCGATCAACCTAACCATCTGGACCAACTTGACTGCATAAACCCAACGACAACCAACAATAGATTTACTTGTAGGAAGCTATGTTGCTCGGACTCTTCAAAAAGGTCAACTGGTGCGTGTCGGATTCACCAAAAGTAGTTTATTTTTGGAGAACCCGACACGAGTACGGCATCAAAAGTGAAGAGTCCGCACAACTAAGGTAGGAAGGGAAACAAGCTCCCAAGTACCACTCGTATGTAAAGCAAACATTTCATCAATCATAGTCCGCCTCCATCTTGGATGAGAAAGTGTTTCACCTGTGGTCTTAGGAATGAAAATAGAGGATAAAGATGATACAAAGGCATAATGGGGTGATGCTAGACAATGAATAACTCAAGAAAGTATAATGTGGGTTAGCATTACGAGTGGAAAGTATACCCTTTTGAAGTGCAATTGGTTGGCTAGGAGGAGGCAACTCAAAAGTAGGAACAAGGTCTGACGCATAACATGAATCATCAAGGACTAATGCTGGACACAAATGACAATGATAAGTTAGTAGCTATGGCGCTGCAACAGGCGACGTAGTAGTAACTATAGAGTCCTCAAAAGTTGGTACAGGTAAGAACTGAGG